AAGAATAATCGATTGTGATTGGTCAATTTCTTACTCTTACTTTTTACTCCGTGTATTGTAGACGACGCCTTAAGATGTCGTAAGTCAATCCGAGGACTGTATTAATATCTTAAGACATTATATTTAAGATGGTTTTAAAATAAAAATGGACTATGAATACCGTCCTATGTTTTGTGTTTCACAATTGGTAAACTGCGCACTGCGAGATGACGCGGAGCAAAAAAAAGTAGGCGTGGTTTGGCCAAACTGAGCACACCGTGGCCAGTATTCATAGTCGAATCTTACAGCCCTTCTACAATAAGCCGCAAGTCAGAAGTTCTAAACTATTTTGAGTCATAATCGGTGAAGTTGGCCAATAGCTAACTTGAACGATTTGGTTAAGACAGGTTAAGGCCGGTATTCATAGTCAGATCTTATATTTAAGACCGTCTTAAGTACAGTCTTAAGATGTCATGAACCAATCAGAAGCCGATATTCATAGTCAACTCTTATTTTAAGATCATCTTAAGTAATGTTTTAAGTCGCTATTGCGGCCCTTTGATTGGTCCATGACATCATAAGACTGTACTTAAGACAGTCTTAAATATAAGATCTGACTATGAATACCGGCCAGAGGGCCGCATTAGCGACTTAAGACATTACTTAAGACGGTCTTAAAATAAGAATCGACTATGAATACCGGCCTAAGACTTCTGATGTTCTGATTTGCGGCTTATTGTAGAAGGGCTGTTATATTCAAGACCGTCTTAAGTACAGTCTTAAGAAGTCACGAACCAATTAGAGGTCGGTATTCATAGTCAGATCTTATATTTAAGACCGTCTTAAGTACAGTTTTAGTATGTCATGAACCAATCAGAGGGCCGTATTAGCGACTTAAGACATTACTTAAGACGGTCTTAAAATAAGAACCAACTATGAATACCGGCCGTATTCTCGAAAAATATCGCATATGAAAATTTAGGAAAATACTATATTATATTATAAATTTTTCATAACACAATATATATTATAAATTTTTTTATAACATATAACATAAATCAACCATTTTTAGCAATTTAAGATATCCACACAACTTACATATAGCGTTTTCGGCCCGGCCGGGTTTGCACCAACCTGGGTTGGATTAATGGCGTTTTGCGCTCTCCTATTGGTAGAGCGTGTGACGTCAACCAATAGGAAAGATTAATCCAACCCAGATTGGTGCAAACCCGATCGGGCCGAAAACGCTAATAGTCTCATAAACATATGCATAAAGAAAATTATCCAATCATATTTTACGTGCGACTTTATAAGAGAAATGTGATTGGATAATTTGCTTTATGCATATGTTTATATGCCCGGTAAAAAATGTTTTATACATGAATATGTATAAATATGTATAAACATACATAAACACCCATAAATATTCATAAACTGTATAATTATTAATTATATATGAAATATGTCCATACACATATTCATACAACCCTTTTTAATTCTTTTATAAAATTACTTTTTAGTGTATAATAGAAATAATAATAGTAATGTGAAAACATTTAAAATAATTAAAAAGATCATTTTCGCACTATTTATTACAAAAAAAATCAAGTTTGAAGAAATGTAAAAAAATTATTTATGTATAATTATATATAAAATTATAGATAATTATGTATGCACAATTTTTTTTACATTTTTCCAAACTCGTTTTTTTCTAAAATAAACAATGCGAAAATTATATATAGCTTTAGAACTCCATTAGAATACTATCTAAAAGTTATTTCTATTTCATTGCGAATTTATTTAGACTAAAAAAGGTATTTTTTGAATCCGAAGAAAAATTACTCACAATTGGTCATAAAAGTGAAATCTTTTAGGAATATGTTTAGAACAGAAATAAGATAGAAAAAAAATTCATTTCATAAGTCGAGAATGAAAAAAGAATTCTTGCCATATAGAATTATTACCATGTAGAGGTTATTATGCTATTAAATTACGAAACTTGTTATAGCGACATAAATGTAACAAAGTGCGCATGAGCTATGGTGACGTTTGGATGCTTGGACATGATGGAATTTCTAATTTCACCATGTGCTCGCCCACATATGCACGCGTTTTTCTAATTTCACGCTATGACTCTCGCTAGAAACTGGCACGAAATTTGAACTCAACCGTATACGATATATTTCCCTTTCTGCGAAGAGGTTAAACACTAGGGTCATATTCTCGAAAAATATTGCATATGAAAATGTAGGAAAATACTGTAGTATACGTTACGGTCCGCATTCAGAACGCGCTTACAACTAATATACATATACTTTACATTACGCATCCCGAAAAAAAATGCTTTATATATATATATATAAATCATATATATGATTATATAAAATATATATCTAATATACGATATTATAGAATTTCAGAGATAAAAGCGTGCTTACATGTATTATAAATTTTCCTACACATAAATAGAAATGTTATTTATGGAGTATAATTCAAAAAAATGCGAAAATTACAAAATGATTCATTTATAGACTCAGTTTTTGATCAGTGAAGAGCGCTATAATTCGTCGGCGCTTTTTAAAATACACCCTATATATGTTCAATTATACTGTATATTATATATAGGAAAGAGTTACTCTATTATTGGAAAAATTACATAACCCAAGTTCACGGATATGAACCCTTTCTCTCTCATTCATTAATCTGTTGGATAATAACAATATTTTGTTTCAAACGTTCTGCGAAAATTTTGCTTTTTAAATCTTAGTAAATTAGTGAAGAATAGTGAATTGTTAATATTATTTGTAATACATATAAAAAGAAATCTAAAGATGATGAATAGTGACGATATCGACGAAAATATTATTTCATTATATAATGCTCAAAAGTGGGAAGAGGTTGCTGCTTTATCTTCTGCAAGTGACAATCTTAAGTCTAGTAGATTATCATGGATATTTCCCGATATAAATGATTTATATTGGATAAATGATATTATACGAAAGTATAATTTAACTGGAATTGCAAGCATTGGTTGTGGTTGTGGATTATTAGAGTGGTTATTACAAAAATGTTCAGGTAAATCTTTAAAATAATTTTGGTGTATATACATATTATACATACATATATGTATGTTTCTTCGTTAATACAATTGCTCATTATTATATTTTTCAAGGATTGGATGTTATGGGTATAGAATTGGATAGTTCTTGGTGGCATAGCAAATATTCTCCACCACAATTCTTAAAAAATATTATCTTTGTTGAGAACAAATCGGTAAATTTTCAAGTACCAAAACGATATGCGATGTTATTTTGCTACTTTAATAATTGTACAGCATTCTGTAATTATATGGAAAGTTACAAAGGTAATTTAATTTTTGTTATTGGACCCGCACAAGGGAATAATTGTACAACAGATCCATTGCCATTCGATGAAAAATTTAAAAAATATAATTGGAAATTAATAAAGCAGAAAAGGCTTGTGTGTTCCAACAATTATATTGTTGCATACAGTAATAAATAATGAATGATATTTTAATTTATATTTATAATAATAGATATTTTAATTTATATTTATAATAATAGATATATTTAATTGCATTTTCTACATTTTTTCTTCACCTTTTCTTTTTATCCACCCTCGTTTCTTAAATTTGACATAAAAACACACTCACATACATGTACGCGTGTTCGAATATATTTACGTATACACAAAGCATGCACCTCCGACAAGAATAGTACCTCAGTCAGTCGTCGGTGATCCACACATCACACACACGCACGCACGCACGTACGAATGCACGACATTGAAAAGAGAGAAAGCTAAAGATGCTAAATGAAAAAGTGCAAGCAACGCGAGTAGACCTAATAATACACATTGCAATAATTGAAAATTCGAATCTAACAATTAATTAAATCATGTGAATTAGGATGAGAACGTTTTACTTCATTCAAACGTTTTATTTTATCTGCGCTTATTTCCAAATCTAGAGAAAAATAGAAAAAAAAGTTATTAATATCTAACAATTTATTTGGATAGACCATGAAATAAAAAGGAGTAATTTTTTAGAATAGCTACCTCACCTCCGATTTTAATGAAATTAGGCTCATTCAACGCGTTTTCATTCAAAACGAAAGAATCAGGCAGAAAAACGTGCGCGGTCGGTCTCATGAACC